AACCCACTTAATCCAAAAATGTATCCAAGTTTCACCATCATTGTAAAGCCCTAGTTATTTTGTTGCTTTGACAAAGTAATTTCTGAATAATATTATTTATTTCATGTGATTAGTGATGAATTTACATCTGCCACTCATTTTAAGGTCAAACCTGTTACGTGAACTAAACTCTCATTTTAATATGATTAAAGTATTTGTTTAAAAATATTCAAAGGAAAACATTGAACATCTAATAGTCAAATCATATAGTGTAAAAGCAGGTGAGCTGGTTCTATTCTTTTGGTGTTCTGGTGTTTTGTGGTTTTTGTGAAACTTGCATTAAATTGCCACTCCCTGTTTCACACAACAAGCTTTCATTCCCCCTGTCACAAGGGGATTTATAGCTAATTTAAGCTGAAATCATCAACCCTGTTACTTTATTTGATACATAATAGGCACTTACTATAGTCATTTTTTAATTTAACCTCCTGAGATGGGAAAACTTGTTTTTTATAAAGTTGAAAATGTGTGATTTATGGCAATGTTAAAATTGACCAAGTTACCCTTCTCAAAAGTCACCGAATTGATGGAACAACCCATTTGTCAACTTAAAACCTGAAGAGAGAAAGGGCAGGAGAAGGAGCAGGAAGAAAATACAAAGGAAAACATGAATTTATGTAACTGTAGCACCCAAGTATCTTGTGTAGCACATTTTTATAACTTTCTACAAATAACAAAATGGAGGTAGATGAAGTAAAAAGGTTCACTTAACATTTTAATAAACATTGAAACAATTATATCGGACTGCAGTACACGGAAGAGTGTCACAAAAAGCCAATGCATTTGATCACATATGATATATACAATATCTAGGTATATACATACTGTGTTTCTCTTGAAGGAGGAATACTGAAATACTTTCCCTCCCTCCATTTTCTCTCATTCATGAGTCCCATCGCTGAAGGGTAAAGGGATGATTGAAATGACATACAGTATTTACAGTAAGCACAATAACACACTGACATACAATATACTGTATGTGCTAGTCATAAAAAAACTGCACTTGACAGAAATGATCAGGAGCATTTTTTTCTTCTTCAATGAAATGTTGTCTTGAACATTGCAACTCAATTGAGTAACTATATTCAAAGACACAAGAGCACTTTAGGGTCCCGTTTCATAATCATCGTCATTACAGTATCTATTCGTTAAATACTGATTTGCATTGTTGAATGGATACGATTTCAATTCTGTAAATGTAGGTATACTAACGGGATACCGAGAGGACAAAACACACTTGTACACACTGACAATTTTAAGTTTCACAGTTCAAATGCAGTTCATTTGATAATTTTGTCTGTTTATTTCTTGTTAATCCTGCATTGTCTACCATTCTCTCTTTCCCTCACTGAGCTCTTTTTATGATTATATTAGAAGACAAGGGGAGAGGTTAGACCTAGCAGTCCAACCATTTTCTCTACCTGATGCTACCGTACCACATTGTCCAGCAATGTGCAAAAACTGCTTACCCTCTCACATCCTATGACGAGGCACCTTGGAATCATTGCGTGTCCCCATCCAACGCCCATGACTGGATTTGACCTGTGTTTTGAGGGGTCAAGAGTGTTTTAAGAGTCAATGGCTGCATTCCGATTCTCTACCCCACTGACAGAAATGACACAGATGTCAATTCAACGTCTTTCCACGTTGGTTCAACGTAATTTCATTGAAATGATGCAGAAACAACGTTGATTCAACCAGTGTGTTCCCAGTGGGTACCCTTCTCCAGCAATGGGCACTCAATTACTCCCCCTCTATTAAAAGCATTGGATGGCTGGAGGGAGTTTCCACCATATTCTTCACACCAGTTCATTCCTTTTAAAGCTATTAGGGGCGAGTGTACGATTGCACACTTCGGTAGAAGGGTAGAGAATCTAAATGTTGCCAATCTGTAACCGACTAGCCCAGTGGTCATTTAGAGAACAGGATAACAGGCCACTTTCTTTTTGTAAGAGACAGGCCAAATTAATCTAACCCTCAACTGCAGTCACATTCTAGTATTCTCGTTCACCAGCCAAGTTCACCTGGTACACGAGACTTCTTATGTCCTCAATCCACAGAATTTCACTTAATTTACAGTGCCTTCAGAAAGTATTCACACCCGTTGACCTTTTCCACATTTTGTTGTACAGCCTGAATTTAAAATGGATGAAATTGAGATTTTTTGTTACTGGCCTACACACAATACCCTATAATGTCAAAGTGGAATTATGTTTTTCAAAAGCTGAAATGTTTTGAGTCAATAAGTATTCAACCCCTTTGTTATGGCAAGCCTAAATAAGTTCAGGAGTAAAAATGTGCTTAAGTCATATAATAAGTTGCATGGACTCACTCCGCGTGCGGTAATAGTGTTTAACATGATTTTTGAATGACTACCTCATCTCTGTACCCCACACGTACAATTATCTATAAGGTCCCTCAGTCGAGCAGTGAATTTCAAACACAGATTCAACCAAAGATCAGGGAGGTTTTCCAATGCCTCACAAAGAAGGGCACCTATTTTGTAGATGGGAAACATCTTTAAAAAGCAGACACTGAATATCCCTTTGCGCATGGTGAAGTTATTTATGACACTTTAGATGGCGCATCAATACACCCAGTCACTACAAAGATACAGGCGTCCTTCCTAACTCAGTTGCCGGACAGGAAGGAAACCGCTCAGGGATTTCACCATGAGGCCAATGGTGACTTTAAAACCATTACAGAGTTTAATGGCTGTGATAGGAGAAAACTGACGATGGATCAATTACATTGTAGTTACTCCACAATACTAACCTAATTGACAAAGTGAAGAGAAGGAAGCCTGTACAGAATAACATTATTCCAAAACAGGCATCTCATTTGCAACAAGGCACTAAAGTAATACGGCAAAAAATGTGGCAAAGTAATTAACTTTTTGTCCCGAATACAAAGTGTTATGTTTGGGGCAAATCCACTACAACACATTACTGAGTACCACTCTCCATATTTTCAAGCATAGTGGTGGCTGCATCATGTTGTGGGTATGCTTGTAATTATTAAGGACTGGGGAATTTTTCAGTATAAAAAAATAAACGGAATGGAGCTAAGCACAAGAAAACCTGGTTCAGTCTGCTTTCCACCAGACACTGGGAGATGAATTCACCTTTCAGGAGGACAATAACCTAAAACAAAAGGCGAAATCTACACTGGAGTTTCTTACCAAGAAGACAGTGAATTTTCCTGAGTGGCCGAGTTATAGTTTTCACTTAAATCTTCTTGAAGATCTATGGCAAGACCTGAAAATGGTTGTCTAGCAACGATCAACAACCAATTTGACAGAGCTTGAAGAATATTGAAAAGAATAATAGGAAAATATTGCACAATCCAGGTGTGGAAAGACAGTTACCCAGAAAGACTCACAATCGCTGCTAAAGGTGAGTCGACAAAGTATTGACTCGGGGGTGGAGGGAATACTAATGTAAATGAGATATTTCTGTATTTCATTTTCAATTAATTTGTTAACATTTCTAAAAACATGTTTTCACTTTGTCATTGTAGCGTATTGTGTGTAGATGGGTGAGCAAAAAAATCTATTGAATCCATTTTGAATTCAGACTGTAACTCAACAAAACGTGGAATAAGTCAAGGGGTATGAATACTTTCTGAAGGCACTGTAGCTTATAACGTGGTACATTAGGCGCATCTTTCGACCACAGTGGTCGAAACACCTGCAAACAGGTGCAGTAAACGACACACAAACCCATTTGACCTTTGACCTTTCAGTAATGTTCAAAAGGGAATAGGGGTTATGCGTTATTCGGAAATAAAATAGGAAACAGGGACCCTGAGGGCTTGGTACCATGGAGTTACTAACAGGACAGTCCTGATGAACGCTAACACCCACGCGCGCAGTCACACATAGGCGCATGCACTCACATACGCACAGACACGCGCACACATACACTCAGACAAACACACCGAGATAGAGAGAACAAAACAACTGTAGACACCACAACACCACCAGTAAGGGATTAACAGGAGATACATACATAACTATCGGCCCAGCGTCACCATGATCACAGAGTTAAGAAAGTGGCGACGTACAAAACACAAAAGTTGTTACACTGGAAGATTTTTGTTCTCATCAAACCATTGAAGGTTAAAGCAAGTTACATAGATTTCAAATACAAATTGAATGGGTGAAATGCAGACATGGGTTCAAATACTATTAGAAATAATTTCAAAAACTTCAGCTGTGCTTGATTGAGCCTTTTGGAACCAATAGAAAAGTCCCAAAAGTGCAAACTCCACCCATCTCGCACTCAAGGCGGGAAAGATTTCAAATAGCATTTGAACCCAGGTGTGGTATAATGTGACCTCTCCTGCAATATAAGCCTGCACCAACAAGATGGCGTCTGAGTCAGTCAAAGAGATAGGACACTTGTTGTCGTCGACAGCCACCGTACCCCAATGTCATTCCCTTATTAGCGTGAGCATTTTTATCTGGTCTACCCTTATTGTCATATTTCTAACTACATTTCTAACTACCTGTATTTCTTGGAAGTGGCGCAAGTATCATTCTGTGGATTTCTTATCACTTCTGCCAGATAGGGGAGTGGTGCTACGGGGAGGAACAGTCACAATACTGTGTGGACTAACTGGCATGATGCCGGATGTTTGTTCCGACGTACAATGGCACTATCTTTTTCATCCTTTCAGTTTAGTGGCAGGTGGATGTCTCTTGAAAAAAAGCTGTCGGAAATCACAAACATTCCTTTCCACTTTGAGTCTTCAGTGGAAAGAAACGAGAATCGAAGCATTTATTAAACAAAATACTTCACCATCGCTTGTCCCCATTTTTGGCGACTTCTAAACCTGTTGGCACATTGAGACGAGACAATTCAAACCGTTCCAAATGTAATTTTTTCTCGACAATATGTCTCCCTCTATGTTTGATTGTCTTCAAAGTCACTCTATACTCTTGTATAAAAAGACCAAGATCAGGGGATTGATACTCTTCTGGAATGTCTCTCTTTCTCCAAAGGGCAGGTGGCCGGTTCCACTCCTCTTCCACTCTTCCCATCCCCTTTCCCTATCGCTATCCCTCTTTCTTCCTCTCCTTGGGGCAGTTCTAAACGATGGAGTCCCAGTCAAAGTCGTCCTGGATGTCTTCGGTAGGCAGCCTCCTCATCTGGTAGTGCCCGGGTGGCATCATGTGCTGCTGGTTCATCTGGCCATGGTGCCCTGAGGATGGAGGTAAAGGTGTAAGGCAGCAGTACAAACACACACTCACGCATACACACACACACACACACACAAACAGTATTAGTATTTTAGCAGGATCCCCATTAGCTGTTGCCAAGGCAGCAGCTACTCTTCCTGGGGTCCAAACAGACATCAAACAAAACAACGTTTTATTCAAAGTTACATTGCACCATTATTACATTACAATACTACCTTACATTACTAAGAATAATGTGTGGGTGTGTGTTTTAGAGTGTGTACACACACACACACACACAATGTCCACTATGAGAGGGGGCTGAGTAGTTAGCAGTAGTACCTGTCATCGTGGAGCCTGCAGTGCTCATGGGGGGCATGTGGGGGTAACCCGGGGGTCCCATCATTGAAGACATGTTCTGTCTTGAGTCCATATACAGATTACCTACAGGAGATGAAGACAACCAACAGGAAGCAACAGTCATTCAGTTTATTATCAATCCTGTTACATATCTATCTCAATTACCTCGTACCCCTGCAGATCGACTCGGTACTGGTACCCACGTTTATATAGCCAAGTTATCGTTACTCATTGTGTATTTATTCCTCGTGTTATTATATTTTTATATTATTTCTCTTTTTTTCTCTCTGCATTGTTGGAAGGGCCAGTAAGTAAGCATTTCACTGTTAGTCGACACCTGTTGTTTACGAAGCATGTGACAAATAACATTTGATTTGAACTCCACTGATATATAGCCTACTTGATTAGATCAGCACAAGGAAGTTTCGCTTTAACCAATCCAACCCTTTCAGATCTATATGGGAGGCACGGTAGAGACTGCGCTTAAGTACAGACCTAGGATCAGGTTTCCATCCGTCCACGAAGCTTAACCATTGTTAACAACTGACTTTAGACCAGTCTCTAGAGGGGCAACTCCATTCTACTGGCCACTGACCTGTGTTTATGTGCTGACTGGGCTTGCTGGTGTGCATGGGGCCGTGGCAGGCAGGTGGGGGTGGCTGTGGTTGCAATGGCCCTTGTGGTGGGATGACCCTGGTGCGGGTGAAGAACTGGTTGATGGAGGAGCACAGGTCTGCTATCTGGGCTGGATCCAGGGACCAGTTGTTCAGCTCCGCCTGCCTCATGCTTTCCTTCAGTCCTTTCATAGACACACACAGACGGGGTCGTTTTAGTTTCAGTAGTCCTAAGTACCTTCCTCTCCTTTTAGTCTCCTTTCTCTCACCTGCACTGGTGTTGCAAAATTACAGTCACTTTCCCGAAGATTTCAAGAATCAGGAGAGAAATAAGCAGGAAATTAGGGAATACTCCAATCGGAATTTCTGGAAAACCTGGGAATTTTGCAACCCTACTGAAAACACTAGATGGATGAAAGCAGTATGTTAGTTAGGGGAGGATAGGGGAGAAGGAGGATAGCGTTCCACCAGTGCTGCTTGACTGTGAATGAGGTCAAGTGCTGTGGGGGCGAGTTGTATCTAAATATTCAGCAATGTCATCAATCATCAGTAGATGTGCACTGACCCTGATAAGAGTGCTCCACAGCCAGGGATAATTAGATTATTCACACTGAGGCAATAGCCAAGCAGACCAGAGACTAGGGCTGCGGCCCAAATGGCTGCGACCCTATTCGCTACGTTGTGCACTACTTTTGACTAGGGGCCTCTGGTCAAAAGTAGTACACTACATTGGGAATAGGGTGCCATTTCAGATGCATATAGTGCACTTCATTGGTAATAGGGTGCCATTTCATACGCATCCTAGGATGGGCCTTTTCTACCTCGGAAACTATCATTGACATTGTGCTACATTCATTTAACAGATGCTCTGTATCCAAAGTGACTTACAACCATACATAGGGCCTAACTTATTGTGATGTCACTTTCGCGTACACTGAGCATACAAAACATTAAGAACACCTTCCTAATATTGAATTGCCTCAATTCATTGGGGAATGGACTCTACAAAGTGTCGAAAGCGTTCCACAGGGATGCTGGCCCATGTTGACTCCAACGCTTCCCACAGTTGTGTCAAGTTGGCTGGATGTCCTTTGGGTGGTGGGCCATTCCTGATACACACAGGAAACTGTTGAGCGTCAAAAACCCAGCAGCGTTGCAGTTCTTGACACAAACCGGTGCGCCTGGCACCTACTACCATACACCGTTCAAAGGCACTTCAATCTTTTTTCTTGCCCATTCTCCCCCTGAATGGCACACATACACAATTCATGTCTCAATTGTCTCAAGGCTTAAAAATCCTTCTTTAACCTGTCTCCTCCCCTTCATCTACACTGATTGAAATGGATTTAACAAGTGACATCAATAAGGGATCATAGCTTTCACCTGAATTCACCTGGTCAGTCTATGTCATGAAAGGACAGGTGTTCACTCAGTGCATTCGGAAAGTATTCAGACCCATTGACTTTTTCCACATTTTGTTACGTTACAGCCTTATTCTAAAATGGATTAAATAAAAAATCCTCATCAATCTACACACAATACCCCATAATGACAAAGCGAAAACAGGTTTTTAGATTTTCTTGCAAATTATTAAAAATAAGAAACAGAAATACCTTATTTACATAAGTATTCAGACCCTTTGCTAGAAGACTTGAACTTGAGCTGAGGTGCATCCTGTTTCCATTGATCATCCTTACAACTTGATTGGAGTCCACCTGTGGTAAATTCAATTGATTGGACATGATTTGGAAAGGCACACACCTACCTATATAAGGTCCCACAGTTGACAGCGCATGTCAGAGCAAAAACCAAGCCATGAGGTTGAAGGAATTGTCCGTAGTGCTCCGAGACAGGATTGTGTCGAGGCACAGATCTGGGGAACGGTACCAAAACATTTCTGCAGCATTGAAGGTCCCCAAGAACACAGTGGCCTCCATCATTCTTAAATGGAAGAAGTTTGGAACCACCAAGACTCTTCCTAGAGCTGGCCGCCCGGCCAAACTGAGCAATCGGGGGAGAAGGGCCTTGGTCAGGGAGGCAACCAAGAACCCGATGGTCACTCTGACAGACCTCCAGAGCTCCTCTGGAGACAGCCCACTTGGAGTTTGCCAAAAGGCACCTAAAGGACTCTCAGACCATGAGAAACAAGATTCTCTGGTCTGATGAAACCAAGATTGAACTCTTTGGCCTGAATGCCAAGCGTCACGTCTGGCACCATCCCTACAGTGAAGCATGGTGGTGGCAGCATCATCCTGTGGAGATGTTTTTCAGCGGCAGGGACTGGAGACTAGTCAGGATCGAGGGAAAGATGAACGGAGCAAAGTACAGAGAGATCCTTTTCTCCGTGTATATCAATGATGTCGCTCTTGCTGCTGGTGACTCTCAGATCCACCTCTACGCAGACGACACCATTTTGTATACATCTGGCCCTTCATTGGACACTGTGTTAACAAACCTCCAAACGAGCTTCAATGCCATACAACAATCCTTCAGTAGCCTTCAACTGCTCTTAAACACTAGTAAAACTAAATGCATGCTTTTCAATCGAACGCTGCTAGCACCCGCCCACCCGACTAGAATCACCACTCTCGACGGGTCTGACCTAGAGTATGTGGACAACTACAAATATCTAGGTGTCTGGTTAGACTGTAAACTCAACTTCCAGACTCACATAAAGAATCTCCAATCCAAAGTTAAATCTAGAATCGGCTTCCTATTTCGCAACAAAGCCTCCTTCACTCATGCTGCCAAACATGCCCTCGTAAAACTGACTATCCTACCGATCCTTGACTTCGGCGATGTCATTTACAAAATAGCCTCCAACACTCTACTCAGCAAATTGGATGTAGTCTATCACAGTGCCATCCGTTTTGTCTCCAAAGCCCCATACACTACCCACCACTGTGACCTGTACGCTCTTGTTGGCTGGTCCTCACTACATGTTCGTCGTCAAACCCACTGGCTCCAGGCCATCTATAAATCACTGCTAGGCAAATCCCCGCCTTATCTTAGCTCATTGGTCACCATAGCAGCACCCACCCGTAGTCTGCGCTCCAGCAGGTATATCTCTCTGGTCATTCCCAAAGCCAACACCTCCTTTGGCCGCCATTCCTTCCAGTTCTCTGCTGCCAATGACTGGAACGAATTGCAAAAATCTCTGAAGCTGGAGACTCTTATCTCCCTCAATAACTTTAAGCATCAGTTGTCAGAGCACCTTACCGATCACTGCACCTGTACACAGCCCATCTGAAATTAGCCCACCCAACTACCTCATCCCTATATTGTTATTTATTTTGCTCTTTTGCACCCCAGTATCTCTATTTGCACATAATCTCTTGCACATCTAGCATTCCAGTGTTAATACTATTGTAATTATTCTGCACTATAGCCTATTTATTGCCTTACCTCCATAACTTGCTACATTTGCACACACTGTATATATATTTTCTGTTGTATTTCTGACTTTATGTTTTTTTTTTTTACCCCATATGTAACTCTGTGTTGTTTTTATTGCACTACTTTGCTTTATCTTGGCCAGGTCGCAGTTGTAAATGAGAACCTGTTCTCAACTGGCTTACCTGGTTAAATAAAGGTGAAATAAAATAAAAATAAATAATCCTTGATGAAAACCTGCTCCAGAGCGCTCAGGACCTCAGACTGGGGTGAAGGTTCAGCTTCCAACAGGACAACAACCCTAAGCCCACAGCCAAGACAACGCAGGAGTGGCTTCGGGACAAGTCTCTGAATGTCCTTGAGTGGCCCAGCCAGAGCCCGGACTTGAACCCGATCCAACATCTCTGGCCAGAGACCTGAAAATACCTGTGCAGCGACGCTCCCCATCCAACCTGACAGAGCTTGAGAGGATCTGCAGAGAAGAATGGGGAAAACTCCCCAAATACAGGTGTGCCAAGCTTGTAGCGTCATACCCTAGAAGACTTGAGGCTGTAATCGCTTCCAGAGGTGCTTCAACAAAGTACTGAGTAAAGGGTCTGAATACTTATGTAAATACACTGTATAATATTTCAGTTTTTTATTTTTAATAAATCTGAAAAAAAATCTAATACCTGTTTTTGCTTTATCATTATGGGGTATTGTGTGTAGATTCATGAGGGGAAAAAAACAATTTTAATCAATTTTTAAATAAGGCTGTAATGTAACAAAATGTGGAAAAAGTAAAGGGGTCTGAATACTTTCCGAATGCACTGTATAACCTTAATTGTGTTTCATTGTCGGTAAGTGACATTTCTGTACATTTCAGTATCATTTCCTATGAATTACCTGTGCATAATGATGAACGCATTAAAGGTATTTATTTATACATTTAAATTCAGTAATAAGGCTGCAACAAGGAGCCATGAGCTGATTGTGACAGAAGGTGTTATAATAGCATTATACACGTGATGTTACCACCATTTCTTACATTTAGGATATGCTAGTTGGTGGTTTAGGCGGCGGCAGGGAGTCTAGAGGTTAGCGGAGTGGGCTTGCTACCAGAAGGTTTCCGGTTCAAATCCTGGAAAAAAATCTGATGGGATTTGAGCTGACTACTACAGGGTTGTTAGTGACAAATCCAAGAAAGATAACATCACCTGCTGTTGTGCAAGGAACAACACTATATTGTGGCTCCCACTGCCCCATCTCTCCAAGTTAATGTGTGTGTGTATATCTGAGGTTTGGTCCGTCTTAATAAAGTATTCTTCTTCTTACCTTGGAATGGAGAGAGGTCTACGTCAGCCCAGTTGTAGCTGCCGGCGATGCGACAGCGCTCCTTCAGCCAGTCCAGGTTGGGGTACCAGTCGGCTGACAGACCTGCAGAGACACACACATGTTTTCCCCCTAGATGTCTTCTAAGGTGTAGCGCCAGGGCCACAAAATCAGTTAGGCATCTAATAATTATATTGAAACAAACCTAAAACAAATTATTTTAGGTAGTGGGAGTGGGCAACAGAGCAAGGCAGGGACAGGGCTAGGCTGGAAGGCGCAATTAAGTAACGGTAGGAGAAATGTTAGTCTCGTTCACCAACCAGCTCTCTATCTGCTATAGCAATTAGCCTGGGAACACGGTTAGGGAAACGTTGACACAAGAGCACGGTCCTGTAATCAACAGAGTGACAGTCAAGGACCAACAGAAGTAATGTGGTGTTTGAGTGAGATGCAGTGAAGCTTTTGACCACAAGATGTCCTTTTTCACAGAGTAAATTCAAGTCACAGACGTTAGTGAAGAGGAATCATTTTCTTCCTTTCACCACAAACCCAAACGGCAACACATTTGAAGCTGTGGATCAAAGACATGGGATTGCTTTCATTCATCCCAGGCGCTGTGGAGAGGGAAATAACCCAGATAATGGAGCGTCTATTTGTATAGGGCTTTTCTCTGAGCCTAGAGCCCAGTGCAGAGACACAGGAAAAACAAAGACAAGCCCAGGCAAATGAAAGACCTCAGTGAGGTTCAGAAATGCCTGTCTCTATGAGTTTAAGTCACACAGTATAACATGCTTTGAGTAGTAGCGGGAAAACAAACTACATAGCTAATATAACGCAATCCATGAGTCCATGCTGAGCATGTAGGGAGTAGTATTTAATTTACATTTTAGTCATTTAGCAGACGCTCTTATCCAGAGCGACTTACAGTTAGTGAGTGCATACATTTTTCATACTGGCCCCCGGTGAGAATCGAACCCACAACCCCGGCGTTGCAAACACCATGCTCTACCAACTGAGCTACACATTTATGTCCTGCCTTAAGCTTCAGACACACCACCACAATGAACGGCTAAAAGCAGTGGGTGGCCTTCCTATCGTTTGCTGTCGCAGCGGTGTGTTAAAGCGACCGCCTGCTGGGTGTCGCCGAGCGGTGGCTGTTTGTGCCGATTCAGCATGTGGAATCGTCGGGAAATTAACAGAAAATGACAGACGATATTCTAGTCAGAGGCACTCGGCCGTGCATTGTTTGGGCGCATTTCCTCTCGGACAGTACAGTAGTGTGTACAGTACAGTAATGTGTCTTACCAGTGCTGGTGCAGGGCATCTGTGCTGGCTGGCCATTATGGTTCTGGAGGTGCTGTGACTGCTGCTGCCCACTGTTGAGGTGCTGGCGGTGTTGAGGGTGCTGTGTGTGTTGAGATGAGTGCTGCCCGTGTTGAGTGTGTTGATGAGGTTGGTGTTGGTTGTGCGTGGCGTGGGGAGAGAGGTGCTGCGAGTGGGGTGGTTGGTGGTGGGGTGGGTGGTTTTGATGGTGACTGTGGTTGTGTGCGTGTTGGTGGCTGTGGGAGCTGCTGCTGCCTCCGCCATGGGAGTGCTGGTAGGAGCACAACATCCGCGGCTGATGGCTCGACTCGCTGGGCATACCCATGAGACCTGCAGGGCCAACCACAATCACACACACACACAGACAGACAAACAGACATACAGACGCACACAGACAGACACACAGAATGGTTCCAAGTACTACACCTGTGCTACTACAGTGCAGCATGTGACTGCAATAGATGCAGTCACATTAAGCAAACCGGAGGGATTTCATTCTGATGGGTTTGAGGAATTTGACTCTGTAGACGCGTGTGTTATTTTGACTGATATCTGCCTTACCACATCAGGAATCCTCACTGAAGCTCTGAGGGTGCATTTCAATAGTCTAAAGTGGCTTCCTCTACTCTCCTTGAGTCATTCACCTTCATTTGCACTGGCAGGCATTCATCAGTCTTTCACAACACAGATGAAGGAAAGGAGACGGGAGAGGAGAAGCCACCCTGACTGAGTCAGTCCATGTGGTCTAGACACGCTGTGGTTTTCTAGGGAGGGTGAGGAGCTCGGCTGCTTGGGTGACTCACAGCATTTAAGCCTCCCAAAGGCAATGACTACTGACGTCGTTCCTTGGGTAGAAGCATGCAAGGCAGTGAGCTTCACTTTGCCTAGGCTGTGGGGGCCATAAAAATAGAATGGAACACATATTGTAGGATGGCATTTTTTCGCAATGCAGTAGAGCACAGATTGGTGCAAAAAATACCCGTAAACATCATTATAATATGACAGCGTGATTTTATTTCAAACTTTTAAATATACATATATCAATGAACGTTATATGGAGGCGATTATTTAACTAGGCTAGAGTTCACTAAACTGAGCAATGCATAAATAGTTGCCTTCTTAAATTAACGCACATTGAAGAAAAGTTTAAAATTGTACAGTATTTTATGCACAGATGTGTTTTTTTTGAATGACGAAAACTTTGCCCATACTGTATGGTGGGAGTACAGCAAACTGCCAAATCATAAAAGAGGTGTTTGGACCTTATACAGTGAGGGAAAAAAGTATTTGATCCCCTGCTGATTTTGTACGTTTGCCCACTGACAAAGAAATTATCAGTCTATAATTTTAATGCTAGGTTTATTTGAACAGTGAGAGACAGAATAACAACAAAATAATCCAGAAAAACGCATGTCAAAAATGTTATAAATTCATTTGCATTTTAATGAGGGAAATAAGTATTTGACCCCCTCTCAATCAGAAAGATTTCTGGCTCCCAGGTGTCTTTTATACAGGTAACGAGCTGAGATTAGGAGCACACTCTTAAAGGGAGTGCTCCTAATCCCAGTTTGTTACCTGTATAAAAGACACCTGTCCACAGAAGCAATCAATCAATCAGATTCCAAACTCTCCACCATGGCCAAGACCAAAGAGCTCTCCAAGGATGTCAGGGACAAGATTGTAGACCTATACAAGGCTGGAATGGGCTACAAGACCATTGCCAAGCAGCTTGGTGAGAAGGTGACAACAGTTGGTGTGATTATTCGCAAATGGAAGAAACACAAAATAACTGTCAATCTCCCTCGGCCTGGGGCTCCATGCAAGATCTCACCTCGTGGAGTTGCAATGATCATGAGAACGGTGAGGAATCAGCCCAGAACTACACGGGAGGATCTTGTCAATGATCTCAAGGCAGCTGGGACCATAGTCACCAAGAAAACAATTGGTAACACACTACGCCGTGAAGGACTGAAATCCTGCAGCGCCCACAAGGTCCCCCTGCTCAAGAAAGCACATATACAGGGCCGTCTGAAGTTTGCCAATGAACATCTGAATGATTCAGAGGAGAACTGGGTGAAAGTGTTGTGGTCAGATGAGACCAAAATCGAGCTCTTTGGCATCAACTCAACTCGCCGTGTTTGGAGGAGGAGGAATGCTGCCTATGACCCCAAGAACACCATCCCCAATGTCAAACATGGAGGTGGAAACATTATGCTTTGGGGGTATTTTTCTGCTAAGGGGACAGGATAACTTCACCGCATCAAAGGGACTATGGACGGGGCCATGTACCGTCAAATTTTGGGTGAGAACCTCCTTCCCTCAGCCAGGGCATTGAAAATGGGTCGTGGATGGGTATTCCAGCATGACAATGACCCAAAACACACGGCCAAGGCAACAAAGGAGTGGCTCGAGAAGAAGCACATTAAGGTCCTGGAGTGGCCTAGCCAGTCTCCAGACCTTAATTCCATAGAAAATCTGTGGAGGGAGCTGAAGGTTTGAGTTGCCAAACGTCAGCCTCGAAACCTTAATGACTTGGAGAAGATCTGCAAAGAGGAGTGGAACAAAATCCCTCCTGAGATGTGTGCAAACCTGGTGGCCAACTACAAGAAACGTCTGACCTCTGTGATTGCCAACAAGGGTTTTGCCACCAAGTACTAAGTCATGTTTTGCAGAGGGGTCAAATACGTATTTCCCTCATTAAAATGCAAATCAATTCATAACATTTTTGACATGTGTTTTTCTGGATTTTTTTGTTGTTATTCTGTCTCTCACTGTTCAAATAAACCTACCATTAAAATTATAGACTGATCATGTCTTTGTCAGTGGGCAAACGAACAAAATCAGCAGGGGATCAAATACTTTTTTCCCTCAATGTACACTGTGGGATTAAGTGCTATGGTTACAGTGCCATTCCAGCCATGGTACACCTGCTAAAAAGCTGATCATAGCCATTGACTTTCAATGCCCTAGGCTATGTCATTGTTATTTACAGTGGGGAAAAAAAGTATTTAGTCAGCCACCAATTGTGCAAGTTCTCCCACTTAAAAAGATGAGAGAGGCCTGTAATTTTCATCATAGGTACACGTCAACTATGACAGTTAAATTGAGAGAAAAAAATTCAGAAAATCACATTGTAGGATTTTTAATGAATTTATTTGCAAATTATGGTGGAAAATAAGTATTTGGTCACCTACAAACAAGCAAGATTTCTGGCTCTCACAGACCTGTAACTTCTTCTTTAAGAGGCTCCTCTGTCCTCCACTCGTTACCTGTATTAATGGCACCTGTTTGAACTTGTTATCAGTATAAAAGACACCTGTCCACAACCTCAAACAGTCACACTTCAAACTCCACTATGGCCAAGACCAAAGAGCTGTCAAAGGACACCAGAAACAAAATTGTAGACCTACACCAGGCTGGGAAGACTGAATCTGCAATAGGTAAGCAGCTTGGTTTGAAGAAATCAACTGTGGGAGCAATTATTAGGAAATGGAAGACATACAAGACCACTGATAATCTCCCTCGATCTGGGGCTCCACGCAAGATCTCACCCTGTGGGGTCAAAATGATCACAAGAACGGTGAGTAAAAATCCCAGAACCACACGGGGGGACCTAGTGAATGACCTGCAGAGAGCTGGGACCAAAGTAACAAAGCCTACCATCAGTAACACACTACGCCGCCAGGGACTCAAATCCTGCAGTGCAAGACGTGTCCCCCTGCTTAAGCCAGTACATGTCCAGGCCCGTCTGAAGTTTGCTAGAGTGCATTTGGATGATCCAGAAGAGGATTGGGAGAATGTCATATGGTCAGTTGAAACAAAAAATATAACTTTTTGGTAAAAACTCAACTCGTCGTGTTTGGAGGACAAAGAATGCTGAGTTGCATCCAAAGAACACCATACCTACTGTGAAGCATGGGGGTGGAAACATCATGCTTTGGGGCTGTTTTTCTGCAAAGGGACCAGGACGACTGATCCGTGTAAAGGAAAGAATGAATGGGGCCATGTATCGTGAGATTTTGAGTGAAAACCTCCTTCCATCAGCAAGGGCATTGAAGATGAAACGTGGCTGGGTCTTTCAGCATGACAATGATCCCAAACACACCGCCCGGGCAACGAAGGAGTGGCTTCGTAAGAAGCATTTCAAGGTCCTGGAGTGGCCTAGCCAGTCTCCAGATCTCAACCCCATAGAACATCTTTGGAGGGAGTTGAAAGTCCATGTTGCCCAGCGACAGCCCCAAAACATCACTGCTCTAGAGGAGATCTGCATGGAGGAATGGGCCAAAATACCAGCAACAGTGTGTGAAAACCTTGTGAAGACTTACAGAAAACGTTTGACCTGTGTCATTGCCAACAAAGGGTATATAACAAAGTATTGAGAAACTTTTGTTATTGACCAAATACTTATTTTCCACCATAATTTGCAAATAAATTCATAAAAAATCCTACAATGTGATTTTCTGGAATTGTTTTTCTCATTTTGTCTGTCATAGTTGACGTGTACCTATGATGAAAATTACAGGCCTCTCTCATCTTTTTAAGTGGGAGAACTTGCACAATTGGTGGCTGACTAAATACTTTTTCCCCCCACTGTATTCTCGTAGTGATGTGTATTTGTTACGTTTTTATATTTAATTGTATACAATTCAGCTCGTTGCTCCTCCTTGTACAATGTTTTTTGAACAATAAAAATAAACTCTGTCATTAAGAGTTGATTTCAGGCAACAGATCGACAGAGCGCGTCCATGTCTGGGGTTAGAGAAAGTAGATGGTAAAACAAGGAGGAAGAGGCCCTGTTCACCCAATAGGAAGCTACAGCAAGCAATTAGCGAGAAGCTTCACAATCTAATTAGCAAGTATCAAAGCTAGTCACACAGATGCTGCACTTTGCTCCAATCAAGTGTGAATACAATGTTTTGTTTTTCTGAGAATTCCCCTTGATTGCCTGGCTCGTTTGACTAAGTAACGCAACGATTGTAGATCCGTAGCACAATTGATTATTTGTTTATGTGAGTTCAATAGAGGAATACAAAGAAATACTTTTATTACTAGTTAATGTAATTAACCGTCCAAACTTTGGTGTAGGAGATTGCCATGATGTTGTGGTGTGTGCTTTTAGCTAACCAGTAAAACAACCATTCCCACTTGTGTTCACCATGCAGCTTTTCCTCTGTTTTCTCATCAACCGGGTATGATGTTAGCTGTGCACATTCTTGTTTTCTTTCAAATACTTCAGCGGTGTTCGATTAAGCTTGCCTGCAGCAAACCACACTGTGAC